ATATTTAATGTTTATTTATTAAACACAATATATCAGTTTATATCACTGAATTTTAGCAGATATATCAACTTTTCAGAGCAAAATCTGATTTTTGCTTTACAGAATCTCACAATACTTCCAAACAGCAGTGAAATATTAGGGATATTTGATATTGATTAATGATTTGATATTGATGGTAATTCATAACATTCAGATCACTGTTAATACAATTTGCATCAATACTGCCTAGTACTTTGTTCTAACTTCTCAGCTAACCATCTTTTAAAAGTCTGTAGTTGCTTAGAACAAAGTCAAGAAACCCAATATAATTCAGTTCTCCAAAGGCAGACAAATCCGAAATGGTTTTAGCTGCATGTCATTTACATTTATCCAATTTGCTTGCTCATGGTTCATTAGAAACAAAACAACCCATTTCTGACTTTCTTTCCATAGTGTTAATTCCATCTTTTTTCCTGTCTTTTAAAAAGACAATGATATATATGCACACATACACACACACATACACATATATATGTCCTGTTTATAATTATTATTAGCCCCTCTCCCCTTTATTTATATGATTCTATTGTCTATTGGGGTTAATATAACTGATAGCTGACCAATTTTTCAAACAAACTCTTGTGGTCTTTTGGACTTGTTCAGAAAAGTGTGATGAAATTTTTCTTTTAGGAGGATTTGGAATGCTAGTGAGTAGGCACACAGCTCATCAACTCACAGTTTTGTCCCTATGCTAATATATTGTATATTTTAGTTATAGCAATTCTGTTTAAGTATATAACTCTTAAGAGAGGTGGCCTACAAATTGGAAGAAACCTAGGGACTACAGGGTGGATAGCTACTGGTATAACACCCTAACCATTTGAAATCCTTTCCTGAGTTGGTATTGGTCAGGGACTCAAGTTGTCTCTATGCTGCAAGTTATCTATCCCCTGATCTGTGTCTATAAACATGTATTTATAACTCAAAGAGTTAGAGATTAATGTCAGCTAACAGTGTCATCTTTTTTCACATTTACTTGCATTTAACTCCACTAGAATTTAGACTGAGGAAAAGGTACACTCAACCTATCATCTTCTTATATGCCTTTCAGAAGTATTTTCTAGCTGAGTTGAGTAACCATAAAGATTTAATCTCAGGTAATGCATGTAGATCTGAAGCTGGAATAATGAGTGGCATGATCCAGTGCACGTTTACTAAAAAATAAAACCCACTATATTCATATATACAAAGAGAATATAGCTTCTGTGTTCAGTGTTTCTATGCCCACTTCTTTCTGCAGTTTCATCTGTTCCCCAAGCAGTCTTCAGAAGGTTTATATTGAATGGGGTGCTTAAGGGCTGTATTGAATCTGTTGTAGAATGGGAAAGCAGAAACATCTTATTCCAAAGTATCCCCAGGCTTGGAGTAAGTGGATGCTCTTTGATTCATAGGTGCTATTCTACAATCTGATTATTATCTGATAACATCTCTAGAGCAGCATTACAGAATTTGGTGCTTATGGACAACTATGTTCATGAGAAAACTCTCTCAACAGAAATAGACTGCATTTTACACATCACCCTTATAAGAACTATTTCATTTTCAGAGTTTGCATGATATACCGAATCATAAAACAACCAAAAGGTTTGAGTTCATACAACACGCCTAGGCACACGAAACATGTTGAACACATTAGATAAGTGCATCTGCTAGACCTTTTTCCTGATTTGCTATTGTAGGAACTGTACTGTAGGAATGCAGTCAGTGTACTGTAAGAACGCAGTCAGTCAGTTAGAACTGATTTTTATGATGCATAATTATTGTTGAAATAATTGGTTTACTAATATATTCTTTTAGCTGCAATGGCAATAAACGACAACTCTTTTTAAAGGTGCATGACAAAATACTTTTAAGGAAATTGAATGCCTTATTATGCTAGGATTTATTCATAACCATTGCTTTGACAATGAACAATTTCTTTAAATTTCTCAAAAGACATTGTCTTTGACAAATTAGCTTCCCTTCAAAAATGAAAAATGCAAGAATTGCACTGCTATGGAGAAGAAAAGAATGAATTAGAGAAGCAATTCTAAGTCTGAGGTGCAAGTGGCTCGAAAAAAGAGAGCTGCTGACAAAAAGCTTGTGCTTAGCTCATGCTATCTGAGGTACAAGTTGCCCAGCATATAATCATATTTGCTAAACAATTCATTAAGCTGACATTTACCAGTGCTCTTTGGGGACTGAGTTAGTTGAAGTAGAATATGACATGAACAGTATTTGACATTTTGCTGCTGGTTTAGAGGATGCATTTTAAGCATCCATAATACTTCAGTGCTGTATGAGTTGCAATCAATAGAATAGAATTGAATTGAATTGAATAATTGTTACTATGTTATATGGCACTGACAAAAGACAAGGATTGGCTATGGCCAAATATTGGTGATACAATTATTGGCACTTAAAGCATAGTGGTAAGGATAGAAAGGCATCAATACTTCCCTGCTATAATTATATTCATGGAACTGTTTTCCAGTGACTTTATTTAGGGTTACCTGACCTTTTTTAGAAGTCTATGGAGATTCTCAGTTATCCAGGTCCTGGTTGTCCCAAGGGTGCTTTTTCAAAAGGCAGCTGGACAATTTTTCCTTGAAGACATTTTGCTTCTCATCCAAGAAGCTTCTTCAGGTGATCCTTCAGGTGATGCTGAGAGCACAGATTAAATCCCCAAGTGGCCTCAACGACTTTCAGAAAGAGTGCTAACAACCAGATGACTTCAAGGAATAGAAACTTTTCCATCCTCTAGTTAGAACTGAAGAAGCTTCTTGGCTGAGAAGTGAAACATATTCAAGGAAAAACAAAGGTTTGGGCAAATCAGAAGAATAAGGCACTATAACAGAAGTTTTGTTGTGTTTGATTTCATTAAACTTGATATCCTTTTGATTGCCTGTGAGATTTTGGGTTTGAAGTAATATTTTTCAGTAGTCTCACTCTCAGTCAACATCTCTATTTTTTTTTAAAAAAATGTTAAAATGCCAACTGCAGCATTTGCTAATTATTATAGTAAAAATACCATATCATCTAACAATTCTGAAAAACAGGAAAACTTCTAGATAGTAAACATGATACCATAATACTACATGGCTTCAATGTGAGGACAATCATCTAATATCACTTGTTCTTTGAAAACTCTCCACCATATCCATACTATTATTAGTATTAGTGTATACTATTACTATGATATTGGTTATTATTTTCTTTTATTCTATCAAAGTAGCTAAATTAAATTAAATTACTGAACAGTTTTATTCATAGTATGTTTTACTTTTCTGTGACTATTTCTTATTATTCATTCTTATTTATTTATTTATTTGTTTGTTTGTTTGTTTGTTTGTTTGTTTTGGACTATGCTCGGGACAGATCTTTCTGAAGAAAATTTATGTGGTTGCTGAGAGTCAATATTAACTTGATGGCACTTGCTCATTTCTGTGATTTATATATCACTCATATGATCTCTTTCTCTCTCTTCCTCACTCTCATCTAAATGTGTGTGTGTGTGTCCACTGTGCGCGCACACACAGATAATTATGTTTTGATGATTTAAACATTAGTAATATGGAAAGCCTTTCAAATTTGAAACATTTTTCATACTATTTATTAAAACATTTCTAATCATTATTATCACTTGAAAAGTCTATCAAAAAAGATGTAGTTAAATCGTTCCATGTAATTTGTTTTGAAAAAGAAGTGAACTAAAATACTTCAAGCATCGTAGCTGTAATTTCTTTCTATGTTAGAAACAACCACACTGTAACTCTACTTGGTAGATTTCTGGCGAAGTACCATCCTTCAGATATCAAAACTGTGAATAAGAAAGAAACTGCTAAATCGTTCATGAAGATACCATATGTCACATTGGTTTGTAAAAGGAAT